CCATATCAGGTGTGTAAGAATGGAAATAATAAATGAAGCAAGTTTATGCTGAATTGTATGACGAAAAGGGATCCATGTTTCAACGTCATGAAATTAAGTCCCATACGTTTTAGAGGTCGAATTTACGAAAACATATTTGCAATGAAAACCTTGTATGTTTATGGTTTTTGTTGTTACATACCTGATGATGGTGAAAAGGGACCAAGATATATGATGTGATTAATATAACAAACTGATTTACTTATTGATTTCGCTTAATATCAGTCGTTTTGTTGGATTTTAAAGGGATCTGACGATGGTGTATAACACTCAGAGCTACTGGTCCAGTGACAGAGGTTAGCTCTTTCTATGGGACGCAAGAGAGCAAGAGTCCCCTTCGCCTGATGACAGGAACAATGCAGTTTCCGAAACGTTGTGTTTCCTAGTTTTTTTAAAATACCGGACGATGGACGAAGTCCGAAACCCAGTAATTCTGAGGATAAATCGTTTTATTATAACCAAAACGTTGCTGTGTGACGGCACTAAAGCCCTAACACAGGCAAAATATTCAGTCTAGATTTTATGAGGCACTTTTTCGGGTAGGAAACGTGTCTCGAAGGAGTTTAAAACAACTTCACTTTCCAATCACTTTCACTTGCGATTCATTGATCTTGAATACTACTCGATGCATCCCCCCATGCAAATATTGTCCAGGTTCGTCTCGTAATGCGACTATAAAGCATCACCCCTCTTGTTGACTTAGCGGCAAGAAGCAATATTATTATCCCGCTCTCATCCGATTAGGCCTACTGCCGAGCAAGAAATGAGAAATTAAGTTACGGTACGCCTAGGGGATGATCAGACGCTGATAAGATTATGTTCTTTTCTATCCTGCAGCGTGGGGTGGGATTGGTGGGATTTTGTTTGTCTTACAAGTATCAACATTTGTAGTACTTAATTTTGAGTTTGTTTGTGTGTACTGGAGCTACATAAGTCGATCCCCGGTGCACGGATGGATCATACTTATTATAATCACAATTTTCTTTTTCAAAATAATGGTGCCACAAAATTACAGATAATATTGACGAACTCAATGGCAAACTACGAAGTGGACCTTGAAACAAACGAGGAACAACAGCCGGATATAGGTGCTGCACGACTGAAAGCAAACAAACGAATACTGAAATACGTGAGAAACAGCTGAAGAATTTAGTAGGACTCCACCGGCCTTGGCCTGTACGGAGAGACGGAATTATTTCTTTATTGCTAGTGGAGTGGGACTAAGTCCCTTGTACTGCGGCCTCTTCTGGCCTATTGTACCAGCTCCAGATGATAGGTAAAGGTGATTATGAAGCAATTGGTGGAATGAAGATTGGCAGGGGAAACCGAAGTGCTCGGAGTAAACCCGCCCCAGAGCCACTTTGTCCACCACAAATCCCACTTGATCAGACCCGTGATCGAACACGGGCCTCCACGGTGGGAAGCCAGCGACTAACCGCTTGAACTATGGCGCAGCCGAGCTCTTTCCTTGCAGAAGCATTTATCGCATTTCCCCTTTCCCCTCCAAATTTTCAAACTGCAAGTTTCTGGTCTGTCAGTGCCATGTCTACCGTATGTTTCAGAAGTACGCACTTAGGTCTGACGCGAATTCCTTTCCCGTTGAGTGCAGCATAGCTATTAGAGATTAGCAAGTTACATAATCATTTTGCTCACACCTTTCTATCACAGCATTCGTAGCTGTCTCTGTGAGACACACTGAATTACTTGTATTTCGAAGTTTTGCTTGGTATTGTATTGAAGGAATTGTATAGACCTTACAATTTCCTCTACATGCCGCGCAGCTCAAGAAATTAGGCCTAAAAGAAAATGAAAGAGGAGGCTTGAAGTCAACAGAATATCGGCGATGTATTAATTTCTGAAACTTTTTTGAACATTTACTTAATATAAACTACATTTTATTCCTTTATTCTCGCAAATTATACGAATAAAACTCAATTCCCTCGAAAAGTAAAGCTTATTTTTCTAAGTACGTTTCAGGCTGCATTCAAACCCCTAAACCTCATTTACAAATGCAGCATCACCTACCCGTATGGTTCCGTTACTCCCGTTACCTATGTGGAAGACCCATGAAAGGAAAAGTGAAGGTCTTCCTATATTGTTCCTGACACTGTATGACAATATAAATTTAGTACTGTTTTTTTTAAGACAGGCTAATGTCAGTTATGAATAACCATTTGTCTTTTGAATCACACTCTTCTTATTAGATTTCAGGCTTTGAAAAATTTTAGTCACCCCTTTATATTAAATTAAAGTTATAATCTCAAGGAACATGCGGCCTATTAATATTACTTAGAGCAGTGAGTACACAATTTTGTGATATCTGTTAGATTCTCTAAAACAATGTCGTAAAATACGTTCACAAATAGATTATTCTATTCACATACACCTTGTTCTTTTGTCACTGAATTTTTGTTTGCTAACCACATTTTGGCAATGAAATAATAATTTTTCTTTTGTTTCTTGAGCCCATATACTTGTTATAAATTTGGCTCTGCTACTGTCAGCAAGGCCGATCACAGTGGCCGCCCATTCTAAGGCATGAAATGTCTTCGCCCGCTCGAACACTGGGATCATGGGTTGGAATTCAACTCAAGGAATGGATGTCTGTTTGTGTTTATTCTGTGTTTGTGTTAGGTAGCGGTCTTGCGACGGGCTGATTCCCCGTACAAGGAGTCCTACCGACTGTCTTGTATTAAGAAACTGAAGTCAAACGAAGCGTTTCACGGATGCCCTACGCTCCATGTGAGAGAAACAGGGATAGGAGGAGAAGAATTCTTAGACTACAGTGGTTCAGTTTCCATCAGGGGCAGGAATTTTTCACAGCGTCGAGACAGAGACTGGTATCAAATCAACAACGAGAGATTTTTCGCTGTTGATAGAGCGGCCGAAGAGGGAAGATGATTTCTTACCTCCATCTCATCGCGAGCCTTAGAATGCATTCCACACGCTCACTTGCCTATACACCCGTCTTCGTGCAATAATCTGTTACTTAAACAAAGAGACAGTTTGTCGCTTACGCCAACTGCTCCTGTTTAACAGATCTCGACATTTTCCTGAATTTACAAATAAGATGCTTTATTCAAGCAAACTCGCTGCGCTTAGTCACAATTCCGCTTACGTCCATATCCTATTATTTAGCTATCACTGTGCTAGTTTTAATTTCAGTAGGCCGTACCCGATATTAACCAGGGAAATCACAACAAAAATGGAGTATTTAACTGCAGCCTGCATTTAATAATTTTCTAATGTAAGCCTATCGGTACAGCCTATTGAGGAAACAAGTAGGCTATCAAAGATATTTAGGCCTAGGACTGTATTTTATAATTTTTAAAATATTTCACCCACTCTAGAAAGTAAATTGTTATCACTCTCTACACGATTCCTTTTATCAAATTTAACGAAGACTGAACATTCTACGCGATCTTGTATAGTGGGCCCTGTTGCATCTCAGCGGGGGTACGCGATTTGGACTGTAGAGATAGAGGATGTGGCAGGGGGGTTGTGCTGAAGCGTAACGCTTCTGTCTCTTAATCTGCAGGTGTGCAACTCGAATCCCTGCTAGGACACTCACTATCCTGACTGAGGCTTTTCGTGATTATCTTCACCTCCTCCGGACAAATGACGGAACAGTACCTCGAATTACGTCACAACCGCTTCCTTCCTCATCCTTGGCAATTCATTGTTCACTAATCATCCTATCGGGGCACACGGTAGAGTAGTTGTTGAAAACTATTCTACAAGCAGGACGGTTTCGAGTTCCATTCCCGATGAGATCATTTTATTTTCCAGTTAACATAATCCTTAGAGCCACACTAGGGCCCTGAGGTACACTCAGCCGCTAACAGGAATGAGTACCAGGAACCTCACCACAGTCTGCTAGCCGATTGTCTAGAGAAAATGTTGGAACCCTGACGCCACACAGCCCAGTGGGCTTCCACTGCCTTTTGCAGGGACAGCTTTACCGTCACTTTTACCTAATCATTCTATTAATCGTCGATATGTAAGCCCGGTCTGAAACGTCGAGGGCGTCGTTAAAAATCATAAGCTCAGACAATAAATAAACTCACAATTTTTTAGTTTCAACGCAGAAATAATTTCTTCGGACACTGCATTTTTCTGAATGTAGAAAAGATAAGATATTTCGGCTAGCCTATAGGCCTGAAGAAAGGTTGCCTGTTCTTAGGAGTTCTTATCGCACTGTACTGAGCAAACTTCATTGTCTTTCATTTACTCTGGTAAACAAATGTAGAGCGCCGTATTCCTTTTCTATAAAATAGACGACTTTTCGGAGGCTGACTGGCTCAAATGTAAAGAATGTATAGATCTGCCTATTCTGCGGGTGTCCACGTGATAGGCAGGGTAAGGATTAGCTTTATCCAGCGATCCATTATGCTCTATTTACGCTTGAAAAAAGGAGGCAGATTCTATCTCCGAAACATATCCTGACAATGGAAGATGTTCAAAGGAAACAGATTATTGCAATGACGGTTGTTATTAAAGTACATGTCTTAACATGTAACTCTGCTCTGCTTTAGCGCATTTCATGCAGGTTGACAGTTGTTTTTATTTTCTTAGCACTGTAACGCCAATTTCAATACATATAGCACACTACGCCTATAAATGTATGTAAAACGAGTCCATAGCTCTTTGTTTAACGTAATGTTCAAGGCTCTCCCCGTTGGAAGATGTTCTGTTGCGACAGGTATAGGATATTCGAGTTGATATTTCCCTATAAATTAAGACGTAATCAGGAGTTGTATGATTTTACAGTCACTGCGTCATCTGCAAGGTGTATCACTCCGCCTTGCGGGCTTACAACGTCACGTCGCATTTGTAAGTGCGTATCTCAGAACAACACAGTCCCAAGACCCATTTTGTTTTGTATCACGGCTTGTTCTGACGGCACATCGAGGTTCGAAGGGACACTTAACAGCCAACATCACATTAGTAGCCATACTTACTTGCGAATCTGGGGTCGTTGGCTGTGGCACCGTACCATCCGGAGTTGCGCATGTCGCCATAGTGTGTCGAGATGTCAGAGCCGTTGCAATATTGCGCTGGGAACTGGTGGTGCGACAGCTGCCCCACGTGCATGTAGGGGTTGGCCGCCATGACGGCGGTCGCGGCGCCTCCGCTGGGGCTGGGCGCCGCCTGGATATTGCTCACTATGGTGCCACCCCCACCGGTACTGCTGCCGGCACTGCTACCGCCGGTACTGCTGCGATACGGAGACGGCGGCGCACCAGACCCGGATAGTTCTAGTTTTCGGTACGATTCCTCTATCGGACTCAGGATATCTGTGACAGAGAAGGGCGTGGTGTGTGGCTGGTGGTGCTGCTTGGGGCTCAGGGACATCGCCAGATCAGCACCATTGAGTTCCGGAAGCAGGCCATGGAGGTCCGCCGCCGCCGAGCGGGCCAGGGCTGCTGCCGCGGCGACTTCCTGCTCCTGCTGGCTCAGGTTGGCCAGCAGCGAGAAGCCCGCAGGGACAGGAACCGGCACGGAGGACGACGAGACCACTGGAAGAGCCAGGGTGCAGGAGGTTGCCCCCGCAGACATGCGCTGGCAACACTCTCCACTTGCCTCTTGTAACCCCGAACTGCAGCGCTACTTCTTCCTCTCGCGGCTGTGGAAACTCTTCAAGTGGAGCGCTCTTCTCCCCACGGAAGGAATTATGGGTAATAAATCAGCTGGTGACACTGCGGGGAGGAGTCAGCCGCACCTGGCCAATCCGACGACGGGATCTACCCACTGGAGATCGTGCTCAGAAGCCACGCCTCCCTCTCGCTGCACTGGCTCGCGCTGGACCCAACCCCACACAGCAGCCCGCCCCAAATAGAGCAGGTAGAGCGTCCATGATTCGCTCTCTGTAGCTCGGTTTTTGTTTGTCAGAGGTAATAAACGAAGGACGGATGGTTTTCAAGGAGTCAGAGTTGTGATCCTGACATGCTTGCGATTGTTTTATTGGGTCGTCTGGTTAGAAAGTCGAGGTCCGTACAAAGCATTTACATTCTCTCTCAGGAATATACGAATAAGGTTAGGATACAACACGAACTAGGAAACCGGTCCATATTTCGTATGCCATGGCTTAAATACTGCAAAACTCTGGTTGGTACTCATTTCTGTTAGAGGCTTAGTCGACCCCAGGCCCATAGTGCGGATGGAAGGATTAGGTCAATTGAAATAATTCAACGACCTCATCGGGATTTGAACCCGCAACCTTCCAGAGATAGAGGTAAGGTAAAGGTAAGTTGTCCCTGTGCACAACGAATTAAGCACTACGCCATGAAGGTGTATGGGGGAGTGGATATATAGGTCCACATTTTCTTGACCTCGGCCCTGGCTGGAGCTAAGTGGTCAGCTTCACGCCCTGGCCACTTTACATCCGGGAAAGAACCCGCGTGACCCATTGGATAGGAGGTTGGGTGGACCCCAAAATCGCTCTGGACGATTTGGAGAAGAGAAAATTCTTGACCCTGCCAGGACACGAACTCCGACCCCTCAGTCGTCCAGCCCTTAGCTATACCGACTACGCTATCCTGCAGAGGATAACATTAAAATGGATCGTTTCGGAAGAGAGGTGGTACATGTTATGATCGAGTGCTGGGTGTTTTTGGGATCGGGTTCTTTTACTAGCAGAATACTTTCAACTTGGCAAGGAAGGTTCTCTGCAATGGAGTTAGTCAACCAGTGTTTTAGTTGTCTAGCTATTTATTCGAAATGCACGAGCTGACTAACTACGCAATTTCATTTTATTGACTGTTTTATCACCCTTAATTTATTAACTCTTTGGCAACGTAAGGCATTTAGAAGCAACCGTGCTGTGTGAACGTGGGCATTCTATTACTCACACCGAAATTGTACAACTTTTCCTAAAATTGTTGTAAAGTCAAAGAAAATCGGAAATTGAAAGCCAAATACTAACCGTATATCCAGAAAATAATGTTGATTTATACCATGTATACTGCATGATGATATTTTTGTATTTTCTCCTCACAAACGCGGAATAATTTATTAAAAATGGCGTAAAACCTAAGTATTGTAGAATTTAAAACCGAAAAATGAACACTTTGTTCTGTATGGAATGTAACAGCAGTTTTAAATACTGTAATTTAAATTTATCGTGCCAAGCGTATCAAAATAATTACAGCTTACAGGATATTAAGTTTTCTTCTCCATAAGAGTTGATATTTCGTTCCGTGTTTTAAAGTAAGTGAATCCAGATTCTCATTAACAGCCCTTTTTAACCTCACCACGAAATGTGAAGTGAAACAGATGAAAAGAAACACTTCAGTCCAGTGCTTCTTCACTGAGGACATATCAAAGCATTTCCTCGAATGTCGCCGTACTGCCCGTGTTTAGTGCAAGTTCTGTCTTCTGTAAGAAGTGAGTGGGAAGGTCAGTTTAATAGCTCTTACTAAGCGGTCAGCCAGTGACACTTGCAGCTGTTTATATAAACTGAATGACTCTTCTTTCCCCACAAGAAGGAGTAGACAAGCAGCTATCGGAACATATGTAAAGAGCAAGGGACCGTGTCTCTTTGTGCCACCACAAGAAGTGCTCCTTCCGTCTTTGTGACCCCCCACCCGTGTTCACCCACACTGCCGAACACGCAACTTAGACCTCTGGTCATACATTTTTTCATTACTTACATGAACAATAGGAGACTCAAAATTTGTCATTTTCTTGAAATATAGTATAATTAGGAAGGTAAGAAGGGCAGGGAATGTAGCACGAATGGTTAGAAGGTGGTATTGGTGGGAAAGCCAGAAGAGAAGAGACCACTAGGAAGGCCAAGACGTAGGTGGGACGAGAATATCAAAATGTATCCTAGAGAAATAGGATAGGGTGTTATAGACAGAATTCATCTGGCTCAGGATAGGGACAAGTGACTTGCTCTTGTGAACACGGTGATGAACCTTCTGGTTCCATAAAATGCTGGGAAATTCTTGAGTAGCTAAGCAGCTAGTGGCATCTCAAGAATGACTCAGCTTCATGAAGTAATGGTTAATTATTTGCATGAACCTATAATGCGTATTTCATCCCTCATTTTTTTTCTACGTGTTTCTTTTCAAAGTCGACTTAGAGGCTTGCTTTAGCAGTCTGCAATTCTGTGTCACAGTAAGTCTGTTTGGACAATTTCGTTTAACCCCATATTCCTATCTGTCCACTCTGATCTTTATTTTTATGCAAGCGCCATAGTTCAATACATCGTAGTTTGTTAGACCTGTCAAAGACGTCTCTTTGTAAAGAAGGTATAGGTAATACTGGTTCCCTTCCTCTTCTATCTTCTTCACCATGTCCAGATGGGCCTTTTCTTTTTCATTGGCACTACAGCCCCGTGGGCCTAGGCCTACCTCTATGAACTTCTCCGTTCACGTCGGTTTTTCTAGATCTTACACATTCGGTAGGATTCCTTGGGCGGATGATCAGCTCGTCGCAAGGCCTCTACCTGTACACAAACACAGAAAAACGCACACACACAAACTAAACATCCATGCCCTGAGTGGGATTCGAACCTATGATCCCGGTTTCCAAGCGAGCGAAGACAGTACATGCCTTAGACCGCTCGGCTACCGTGATCGGCCCCAGATCGGCTTTAGGGCCCCTTAAATTACTCCTCACGTAGCCCTACATCATGTTAAATAATATGAGTGGGATATACAGGCCCTATAACACGCATTTAGGGGGGACAATAAGTAATCTACGATTATTATTTGGTTGGAAAACACATATGCAAAGTAGGTCTAGGTTGCTTTGAGAGAGCTATGCATAGGCAGGAGACAAGCTGATATTAAAATAAATGCTAGCAAAGTATGCCCTATGTACCCGGGTTCGATCCCGGGTCTGGTTAAGTGGGATTTGTGGTGGACAAAGTGGAGCTGGAGCAGGTTCTCTCCGAGTACTTAGGTTTCCCCTGCCAATCTTTATTCCACCAACTGCTCCTCACCTATCATCTGGGGCTGGTAAAATAGCCCAGAAGTGGCCGCAGTACAAGGGACCTAGTCCCACCCTACTAGCAATAAAAACAAAATGCCCCGTTTTGAGACGAGTTAATACCTCCACCATAGCCCTGCGAGTTGCAGAAGGCGGCGAAACGGGAGGGAACCCGGTGTCTGGGGCTGTGAGTGGGCCACCGTGTCACTGGGGGACATAAATGCAGGGACGTCGCCCTTCAGGTTGGGGGTTGGACGTAAGGCCGACGGCCTTTCTCTGCAAAAAACACTATTGCGAAATCCAAAGAAGTGAAAACGGGATGCTATCTGGCAGAATCTTCTAAGGATGGCTATGGCTCCAAAAGGGCTCTTTTTTCCAATTACTATTAGACAAACTTGATACGAGTTTAGTGTGAAGGTTTGATCTGGCAGAAGGTATGGTTCAGTGACGGGCTTGTTGGAAACTGTCATATAGTCAGCAGGCCTAAGCTTTGACTGGTTAGGCTATGTAGGCCTGCGCCACTACGAACAGAGCAAGAAGGCGCTTTGTTACAACGCCTCGCATCAGCGGGATACCGGAGTCGGTTGATGGAGGATCTCTGCATGCTGTGCGGTGTAGCATCTCGACCCTGTTAGAGTTAATTCTATTCTTTTCATCTTAATAGCTATAGATCTAACTGATGAACCATTGTATAATAGTGAAAAAAGTAAAGATGTTACCATTGGGACTATTTTTTGCACTACATAGGGGTTACTAGTGGGCAACGCGCTCCGGCCACTTTACTTCCGTGAAGGAAGACATTGGTACTCACAGCCTACTTTCCTTATTATAAAATAACAAAAGTAGGCTTATGCGATCGCCATGCTGTCTGTGTGTCTGTGTTTCCCCCACCCATGAACTTTTGGATTTTTGTTTGTAAATCATGGCACCAGAGCCAATCTCATCAGCGTACTTCATAAAGCCCTCCAATCAGTCTGTGTGTCTGTATTGTATCCCTCCTTAGTTGCTAGACAACACTTTCCGCGGCAACGAATGCACGCGCAACAATAAAACAATTGTTGGGCGTGTTATTTTCTTTGCGTTCCTTGTCGTATCAATGAACGTAGGCGATTAATTCTCTCGGCAATTCTTGTTTCTGTAGGAATCTCCTTAGGTCCGAGGGTCGCCATGGGCGTTGGGGGAAGAGTAACATTTAGAGAAATGAACCGAGGTCTTGCCATATTGACCGAGCTCACCAGGTTTATGAACAGCAACATCTAGGCATACAACATAAATATAATTAGACTCTCCATTTTCTGTTATATTATTTAGCTGTGCCGGATCAACTGCAGACATCGATGACAGGATTGCAGAAGCCTGTTTCAGAATATTGTCACGTGTAAGTGGTAGCGTGACAAATAATTGCGGATTCTAGATTTCATGATCAGGTTTATTTGAAATCACTACCACAATTATACTCGATTATAACAGTTCACACATTTGACTTCTTTTGGAAAACGAATCCCTGACTGTTGTCTGCATCTTGCGTCTCTGGTCTTCTGGAATTCTTTCGTATTCTACGAGTAGTTATAACTGTTAGGCAGGCGTGATAGCGGACACCGCCCCGAAGTTTGTCACTTTGCGTATTTCTCTTTTAAGAAATTGTTCCTGTGCGATCTAATAGCTTTCAATAGTGAAACAGTGA